GAAAATGTCTGCACTTCAATGTTCATGGGGGAAATATCTCAGCAATGCCACAAAACAGGCTGCTATGTAAAGTAAATTCAGAGGCTGAGGTTATTCTATCTTTAACCCCTATAGCTTTTACTTGGTGAACTCAAAACACCACTTAGGAAGATGGAGGATTTAGAAAGTTCACACAGGAATCCATCAGAAAGAAATAGTGACTGCATTCTTAAAAGAGAGGAAGGAGGAAAGAAGAAATTAAGATATTCCTTTACATGAACATTTGTACACAGCCTATTACAAAGCTAATTTTACTTACAGAGTTACAGTTCAAAATAATCTCTAGTAGTATTTCCAGAAATCCACTTCCTAACACCAAGGTTGTGGTTCAATCCCTGTGTGGGCCATTCACTTAAGGGCTGGACTCAATGATCCTCGTGGGTCCCTTCCAACTCAGAATATTCTGTGAAATCTGTGTTAGGAATCTGTCTCTTGTTTCCAAGATGTCCTGTTTGATTTCAGTGAATCTTATGTTTCTGAATCTGTTTTGAGAGAGCACCTTCTAAATGCTTTAGCTGCCCAAAGAAATCCAGATAGGATTATCTGCAGCAGTGATTAAGCACAACCTAACCAAGGACAGTGTCATCCCTTGTTTCTGGAGAAGAGCTTGATTTAAGTGAAATAAGCAGCAGAACCACTTGTAAATCAAAAGCAGACCACGAATATCCTGGTTTGTAGCCCTTTCACCATTTCAGTAATCACAAATCACAGCAATGGTTTAACAGTGACTCATGGAAACCTCTGCCACATCACTGCTCTTTTCATCCAGGATCATTAGTGACTTTACTGATATAAATGTCAAATTAATGACATCCAACGGAAGAAAACAACACTTTCTTCCCCTATGGGAAATGAAACCTTGGAACATGCAGACTTAAAAAAACACCAAAGCCACAAAATTAAACAAAGGTAGAATATTTAGTTCCCTATGCAGGAAAGTGCATCTCTAACGAAACACATCTGATTGATGGAAATGCAATATTAAAAATCATCCCCCTAACTCTGAATTACCTTGCACCAGCACTAGGAAAAAAATCAAATACAAGTCAGGCTCAGCTACCTTAGTTAAGCTTTTTTCTGAAGAAAAAAAACATCCATGAGAATATTCTCCTGCTTATCATTAGGAGCGTGTCAATGCCTCGCTGAGTCTGGTCCTTAATGGATTCCTACAATACTGCTGAAGATATTGCAAAACAACAATGAATAATATGAGAGTGGAGCAGATCCTAACAACTAAACACTTCCCCATCCTGGCTCAGATGAAGTAATGGAGCAGAACTCACTGCATCATTTACGTTATCTAACTACCATTGTTCATCCCTTTTTTATTGTAATTTGCACATATCAGTAATTCAAAGTGCTGCAATTTTAAAAATATTCAACTCTCTAGACTAACACTATCATTCAGACCACATCAGAATACAGAGAGATGAATAAATAAGAATACCATCATTAAAATATATTTTCTTCTCTATTTATTAGAATAAAGTTACAATACCAGCCTATTTCTAAGAGAACTGTGGTATTTTCTAATAGCTCTCTTTCCCAATTATTTTTTTCGTGCCTCTCAGGTAGAAATCCCTAGATCACACTAAAACTCCTCGGATTCCTCTTTGGCATGCCATGTTGTTTTGGAAAATAGATTTATTGTACTAACAATTTTAAAAGATGTGTTTAATGAGGGGGAAAAGAAGACTCATAATCCTCTATAATAAAATATTTTCAATCCAATAACGGCTATTTTTCTGTTACTTTTTTTCCACGTTTCCATTTCCAAGGAAAACACAACTCACTCTAAAATTAGAGAAAAGGGGTTTAAATGCCTTTTTTTCACTGGCTTGATAGGCCTTTACAGCACAGTAAGTGGCTTTGTGTCACCTGTGACTGCAAGAGGAGTCAAGGTGAGAAGGTTTTGGAAGGAACAGCCTATTGGAATACATCCACCAGGGTTTAAAATGTGGATAACCATGGCAGCTCTTCCAAAGGATGCAACTCTCAATTTAACATGCCTCATCCTTTGTCTATTACTTTAAAATCTTCTGGCCAAGGAAAGGTGTTAGGAATAAAACTACACTTAACTACAGCGTGTTTATCCAACTGGGTAACAACTCTACAACGTCTGAAGAATAAGAAAAAACAACAGAATGGCCAAGAATACAAAACTTCTCTTTCCTTCCAATAGCAAGTGTATAAACTTTCTGCCAAACACAGAAACACTTCTTTCAGAAACCTTTTCAGAGAACTGAGGTGGAACACCAAAGAGAAATGTCTTGTTTGCCAAAGGATTGCAACTTCAGGCAAGAGAGGGAAAAGCACAGTAATTCATCTTTCCCAATAAGCCAGGCTCAGAGAAACAACACAGCCACTGCTGAGTGTCCACCCAGCCCTGTGAGCTGGGAACCCTTCAGTCACCTCCCTCTCACTTGTGCACATCCCTGTCATTACACACCAGATCAATCCCAACTCTTGGATTGCAGTTTGATCTGGAATACAACAGCCAGAGCAGAGAGATCATGGCCTATGCTGCTGCCCAGCACTGCACTCTCCAGTATTCCCACTTTAATGAATTCCAGTTTGTCGCAATGGAATGGGAAAATTGCTCCAGTTAAGGGAATGAGTGAAGACTCTGCTTATCTTTTACATCCATTTCTGTGCCAAACTGCTTGCCAGTCACTCTTTGTCCTTGATTTCCCACTGTATATTTGGAACAATTCTATCTCCTTTGCCTGTTATGTTTATTTTCAGTTGTTCTCTGGAACTGTCTTTTATTGCTTTGTTTACTGGTTTACTTTGCTGGAGCACTGTAGGCATTACTGCACAATTAACAGAAGGCCAAACACCTAAATCCACAGGCTATGGAGTCGAACTTTTAAAATCCAGGATTCCTCTGGAATTGGGTTGTTAAAACTATACCAACATCACCATATTTGATGACGAAATAGAAAAATACTGTAAAGCAAGTTAGAAATTATACTAAAATTCAACTATACTTACATATTTGATGATGAAATAGAAAAATATTGTAAAGCAAGCCCAGCTAGAAATCCTATAAAAATCCAACCGAAGGACAGCGAACACAAAATTCACTGTGATTATTACAAGAGATTTCTGACAAGCGACCGACATTTGTTTCATTCCACGCAATCCCAGCCCCTCAACACGTCTGTGCTGTTGTGGCACTGCTGTTTGCCGTGGTTTTGCTCGCTGAGGGAGCGGGACAGAGGATCTCCCACTCAGCGATGTCGGACACGTGTCCCCGTGTGCCGGGGGCAGAGGCCACCCCGCCCAGCCATATGGTGCTGCCAGGAGCCAACCCAGCTCCAGAGGCTGTTACCAGGCAACATGCTGGGCTTGGGGCTGAGCCTGGTGACAGAGTGACCTCCCAGCCCCAGAAGCTGATTGATAGTCATTGTGCTGGTGGGTTCTGATGGCAAGGGAAAAAATAATCAGGCGAATTACGTGCATCGGGATTTGGAAGCGTTGAGCCTCCCTCAAATTCCAAATGAGTGTTTTCGTCTTCTTTCTCAGCGCAGATACCAAACCTCTGCTTTAGCTTGTTGAGGAAAAATGAATATCTTTTCCTTAAACTGCATTTATGGATACTGAGGCACTATATTCACAGTCAAATTAATGTGAGCTTCCTCCAAACACGCTGTGATTATCTCAGGGACCACTGTCTCCCCCGGGTTAGAAACCCCAACCTCAGCCGTGCAATTTTTACCAGAATTTTTCTAACAAAAGCTGTCAATTGCATCAAATTCTGCTAAGGGCTGGAAGGTTATTCTGTGAGAGAAAATACTGTTCGTGACAGAGGAAAAGCTAAAAGCAACAAGCATGCTGAGCACTACAGAATTGATTTAAATCTATCCTCAAGATGAACAGGCTTTTTTTTTCTCTATCCAGTAAGCCAGGCAGTCTTTTTGAAATAATGAAATCTTATTTCAAAGACATTAAGAGGAAGATTGTGTTCAGTGTAGGAGAATAAATGCAAAACTCTTCTTTTTTTCTAGCAAGGACTGTGTGTCTAAATTTTTCAGTGACACGAAACTTTGTGTGTTGGGGCAGAACTCAGCTACCAATATTAACACACTTGAACAAAAAAGGGAATCTAGTCCATTATTTTGTCAATATAAAACAAAGAACAGTATAAATGTATATAAAGCAGAAATATTCTCAGTCAGCCCACCATGGAACAAGCCATACTTATTACCTAACACAAGACATTAGAGCATTGCAGTTTATTTTAAGCAGAAGATTATTAAAAACTGTACCAAATATACACCTACCAAGAATCACAGTCTTAGTTTTGTCTGATACTTCCGTATTTAAGCATGAAAAGTTATATCCTGATTAAAAAGTGCTAAATCAATATGGTTTCTATGCATGTGCTACAACAAAAAACTTGACTAGAAAATAAATTCCAAGTATGAAAGAGTAACAAGTAGTTTGGATTTGAAAGCCTCTTCTCAGGAATAAAAAAAAAAAAGGACAAAAAATCAATCAGCACAAATACTTTTTGAAACTCAATTCATGATATTCCTTATTCTGACATTATGAGTGTGATTAAAATAGAAAGAATGATGAATTAATTATCCATAGTTGTTGGAAGGGGGAAAAAGTGTCTGTGACTAATCTGTACACAAAGTAATCAGCCAAAGGTAAAACACACACAGCAGTGACACAACCCCAACACGTCCAAGGGAAATACAAGAGAAAATCACTTTGACCCCCAGCCAGAACCAGGCAGGATTATTTTCTAAACATGTCACTGGCAAATTGCTGTTCACTGAGACTAAAAGTGATCAGACCTTTTACTTGTGCTCTATTAGTCTTGTGATGCAGCACCAGCACAGCAAGCTGGGGAGCCCAGTGAGGTATTTGTGCATTCACTGTGGCAGCCCAACAGAGATTTCAGTGCCACTGAGAGGGGAACAAACACACAACACAAATCAGGGACTTACTGAGAGGAGGCTCCGATCATGGAAACAATAGGCACCACTTGCATGGGGCTTCTGTGTGGTTTCCTGTGGAAAGAAAAATACATTCTTACTGGAAATGCAGGATTCAGGAGCTCGTGTTTGTGCCCTGTGCCCATAGAAGGTTGCAGGCAGGCCTAAAGATTCCACAAAAAATACAATTGCTAAGGCATTATTGGGGCTGTCCAGGAAGGGTTGCACAAATTATTGGGTCATCAGTACATTCTGGTTGTAGTACAAAGCCAAACAGCAAAATCTGCTTATTGAGTCACAAGTGCCAACAAAGATTTTATTATTTATTTATCACTCAACGGGTAGTAAACATTTCCAGACAGTTTCCAATGTACTTGAACCCAAAACTCTACATTTTCATTACAGACTTATCTACTTAAATAGACATTACTAAGCTGTAGTTGTAAATTTTCTCCAGCACAGGCTTCTGTTTCAACAGGAACACACGACTGTGATTTACTTTCTGTGTATTCTTCAACTGAAAACTTGAAGCAATTTTGCAAGAGCCAAATTATCATAAAATACACAACCAACAGGGACCATTCAGAATAGATTTACAAGCACCTAGCTGGGAATTCCAATCAGGTAACGTTCTATTCCATGACACCCTTTTTTATTGATGAGCAGCTGGTGACATGTAACGTTTAAATGAATTATTCACTGAATTTCAGAAGTCACAGTAACTTCAGACATGTTTTACCTAACAGATTCACCCTACATGCATTTTTCATTTCCACGTGCAAGTGCTAATACACACTCTCTGACACAAATACTCCTGCAAATAGAAACACTGTTCATATTTTGAGTCTTCAAAGATAATTTACATGTAGTCCATATATATCCAAATCATTCTCTAGATAAATTTAACATTTTTCCATACTTAACATTTTTATATATTTCAGTATATAAATTATGTATTTTCTATAGCATAAGTATATAGTAAATAATAGTATATATTCATATACTTTTTACATACTTCAGTAAAATTCCAAACAGTAAACATACTGAATAATTTTTCACAAAATATCTTCTTCCTTATATGTGATTTTATTTTAAACAAATAAACAAAAAAATAAATCAGTAAATAACAAATGCAGCTGAGGATAAAGAGCAACAAGAACCAGCAGTACCAGAAAGGTATGTGTTCTATAAACATATCAGGAGTATTACAACAATCACACATACTGATAAAAAAACCTCAAGAACTTCAGAATGTGAAAGGGTGATAATCAGGAACAACAAAAATACTTGGATTTAGGACTCCTCAGAGCTGGGACCATCACTAGGGAAGTCCAAGAGAAAGAGCCAAGTTCACAACTGATGCTCCCAGCAGCAATTCCAACTGTCTTGCTGCCCAAACCCCCCCACATTAATCAATTCCTGAGCTGAAGACACGAGTTTCTGTTTATTTATTTATTGCTGGACAAAAGGAAGAGTGGCACATTTACAAACTTTACAAAGTTCTGTAAAGATTTCTCCCCACCTGAGGAAACCCCCAGCCCTGCCTGAGGCAGTGGAACCCTCCTGCACAGCACCAGCCAGCTCAGGGCAGCTCCCTGGGCAGTGAGAACCACAGGATATCCCTGATATCCCACCACCTACCACACAGCAGGGCCCTATTTCCAGAGCAATTCCACAAATTGCCTATGTTACTAAGTATACTGAATTTGTTACCCAGCTCCTCAGGCAGTATATAAACAATGAGCAAGATTTTCAGTCATATTCATATGATTATAAGAAGCAATTTTCAGTAGAAGGAAACACAGCTGAAAAATTCCAGTAGTTTTGTGGAAATAAACCTCCATTCTGATAAAATCCTATTTACAAGCCTCAAGATAACCTAGTTGAATCTGGGCTTGGACATTAAACCTTATTTTTATACTGACATGAAGTGTCATCAAGGCTGTCCACACAGCTACAAAGCAATCTTGTGGAGAAACACAAGATACACATTTTCAATACTAAATTTTTCTTTTCCACAACTGCCATAACTTGAAGCAAAACACGAAGCAGGCTCTTGTTTTTGCATTCCTATCACACAGAAATAAATTCCCAATGAGCAAAGTTTTGTTTACAGCTGCTAATACAACATTTGTACGTGCCAGGCACACACAAGAACAGCAGAACCCTTCAGCAGAGTGACCACTCCCAGGGCTCCTGTTGTTCTGAGAGGAGGAAAAATTGACAGGTCTGCTAAGCGTGTATGGAAAAGTTTGGCAGAGAGGATGATGGCTTAAAATTCACTTAAAAATGAAAAAGTTGTGTTTTCAGGTGAATATTTCAGGTGCAAAAAGTACTGAGAGTACCTCGGGTGCTTGTCCCTCGGGGCAGCAGCTCAGGCAGCCCAAAGAAGCAGAGGTTATTCTACAGGGTCACTGAGAAAGGGAGCCCCAGGCCATGCAGCCTTCACAAACTGTTACCATACCCAAGCATTCCAAGAGTATCCCAGACATATTATTATTTTTCTATGGAAGTAGCTTCCTTAAGCGTTAAAGGAAAAAAAAAACCCAACAATAAAAATAAATAACCCAAAGCAATATTAAAAATTACTACTAATACATACCCACAATTACTAAGTCTGACTTAACATCTGCTGCTTCACACCTGTATCAAAAGCCTATGTCTAAATTGATCTAAGCTGATACTTTTTATTTTAATTGCATTTTTAGAATGCAATTAAACAATGATACCTGTTGCTGCAAGTTAAAAGCCATTCCCCTTAGATAACAACCAAATGCAACAAGCAGTGAGTTTTGCCATCATTAGACTTCTAACCATATTAGTTCTATTTTGAGGCTTTTTTGTTTGGTCTCAGTTTAATTTCCTGTCAGCCTTACAAGAGATTTCTAATGTTTGGGCTGTAGGATATGCTCTGATTAAAAATAATCTTCCCAATTACTGCCTGGCATGAGTCTACTGCCACATGCACTCTGCCACTGGCTTCTGAATTTCTGTCAGCAGTAATTGTGTCTGTAGCTTCTAACTGTAAATGAAAACCCAGGGGGCATATTTGGGTTCCAGTTTCCTTTGCCCAGCCATATCTTTTAATTTGCACTGTCTGTCAAAAGGAGATGTTCGTAGGCACTAAAAGGAAATCCTTAGAACATCAGGTTAAAAAAAAAAGGGGAAAAAGAAGACAAAAAGAAATACAACTGGAATGCGATAAACCACATTTGATATTTATGCCAGCACACTCAACACAGGCAGAGCAGCTCCCTGCATAGATTAGCCTTAGAAGAGGGGGACTGAAACCATTTTCTGAGCATTTCTAGCTGCACTTATTTAACCATTGCATTTAATCACAAGCCTTAAGCATCACCTTAGTATTGCTCTTTTTTTGGAATGTGGTCATTCTAATGAATATTTGAAAGAAAAGCATTTCTGGTCACAATGGAAAGAAGAGTTCCTCAGGCTCTGGTTCCCTGCCTAAACTGTCCCATGGGGTTCCCCATCTCCAGCCTGGGATGACCCTCAGACGTGGCTGATGGGCCACCTCTCTCCTGGGTCAGCCCCCTGGACCTGCACTGCACCTTCTGCCCAGCCTGCCTTTTAGTCTGGACTTTAGACCCACATTGTCCCCCTGTCTCCATCCCCTCTCTCTGCCCATGAACTGCTGCTCCTGGACTTCCCAGGTGGATCCTGGGCCTGGTTCACCACCCTGCTGTCAATGGACAGACCCCATCGCCAGGACCTGGCTCTGCCCTCTGTGCTTAGACCCCGTGTTTAGATGAACTCCCCTTCCACAGGGAAAAGAAAGGATTCAGCTCCTGGCTCTCTCCAGGAGCATCCAGCTGCTAGCAGGCCCTAGGACACCTGCACTGGAAGTCACAGTGCTTAAACCTGGCAGCCAATGCCACCGCAACAGCAGCCACACGATAGATGTGTGTGCAGATCCTCACTGATCCACTTTTCCTCTCAGGAATGCTGCTGTTGTGATGGAAAGGTGGCATGCTGTCTCCAGGGAAGGCTGTCTGTGTGACAAGAGCAGGATGGAAGCACAGGGGCTCTGGGTCCATCTCCTAAAGGAAAAGAATCTTGGAAGAATGAATCACTAAGCGCAGACTGTACTCTGTGAAACAGATACAGAAGAAACTCAAGGAGTAGAAAAATATCTCATATAATGTCATCAACAGTGAAACTTTGGGTAGAAGGGAAAAAGTACAACCAGCAACCCAAAGCACAGTCAAGAATGTGTATATGGGATATATGGTATTACTGCACAGAATAATATTATGAAGACTATTGAGAAGACAGTTGCAATTATTGCTAGTTGCTAATATTATCTATAAAATGAAAAATACTGCAAAGTCTCTTGAAAATAATTTTCCATCTCTAATCTGTCCAAATTAAGTAAATTATTGCCTCTAAACTAATCTGGCACACAGCACATTTGGAACCCAAGGAGTACAAACAGCATATTTTTGTTTGCAGGAGTCACAGAAGTTTTCATTGTGCTGGGAGGACAAATACTGAGATTTGGTGAATGTGAGCAGGTATTTGTCCAAATAGCATTTGAGACTGAATAGCTTTTCTTGGAATAAGAACTTATTTGGAATATTAACTCCAAATGTCAATGCTCTGCATTGTGTTGGTTGGATTTATATGTTTATATCTGTATATCAGGGGAGACAGCTGGGAGGTGAGAACAGACTCAGTGTCAGCTCTCTCCTGGACCTTTGGCACACCATTCCACAGTGTAATCTCCCTGCCTTCAGGGCTGTGCCCCTTAGCACATATTCTGGGCAATGTGATGACAAAAGACTGGTGACAGACAAGAACTTCAACACATCAACTGAGACACCCAATTTCCCATCTGTCCAGTGGAGGTTGTGACCACCACTGCATTCAGAACTGCCTGGTGTTACAGAGGTAAAAAATGCCATGGATCTGTCTAAATACTGAATATTTTTAAAATATTTTAAATATTTAAATATTTTAAAATATTGTTTTTCAAATATTGTACAAGCTGGGCAAGAAGTTCTTCGGGCCTCCCCTGAGCCCTGCAGGGCAGCAGCATGTACAGGCTGCAGTACAGA